TGTCAATAAAATAAATTAACTCATAAATTACTGAATAACATGTAAAAAAAATTTAACTCGTTAAGTTAGAAATTACTTTTAAAAAAAAAGTAACTTGTTTGTTATTTAACTTAGTTAAGTAACTTAACTTTTTAACTTAATTTTAACTTTTAAACTCATTAATTCCCAGATTTGATAGATATACATTACACTTTGGGAACATTCTAATGTAACATAAATTAAAACATTGTACTATAAATAACCTACAATATTTTTGTTCACATAATTGTTAAGTGAATTTAGTTGGTAAAAATATGTATGTCTCATAATATATGTAAATATATATTTGTATATTTTTACTATTATATTATTATTGACATTCTAAGTACTTATTTTGGATGCTCACCGTAAAAAGGTTTTATACGTGGAAACGTTTCCTGCCAAACTACTGCTTTATTCACAAGATCACCGACATCAAATATGTAAAATGGATCTGATATTTTCTACAAAAATAATAATAATAATAATAGAATTAAATACAATTTAATGTACCATCAAAAAATAATAAAGTATGTAATAATTACGTTTGTTCTAACTATATCCTTGATGATTTTTTCAACAGTCCCATTATTATCAATTACATGAATTTGTTYATCTGGTAATAGCATCCTCATGTTTATTCTGGTTGTAATTAAGCAGTGAATTTAGGTACCAAATTTAATCACTAAAAATGTTTATTGAATTGAAAATGTAAGCTGTAATAAATAAAAAAAAATGATTAATACTAAAACATCTTCATTAAATATTTCATTTTTATTATTTAGTAAGTTAATTATACAAATTTTTAACCAAATAAAATCAATAAAGATATTAGGTAAACTTTTTTTATGAGTACATATTTCAAAAACGCATTGAATTTATACATATTAAATATATTTAATTCAAAACATTAAGATGCAATTCATAAAAATATATAGGTACCTACATACTTAATTATTTAATTATTATTGAAATGCTAGAAGTATTAAATGTTAAGATGTCATTAGAGTAAACCTTATATTATTGTTCACTGACAGTTTATTTGAGGTGAACCGTGGAACAATATATGTATTTGTGGAAAAATAAATGTACAAATTATGTGTATGCGTATCATATGAATATTTAAATAAAAAAAACAACACAATGAGAACTTATCTAATTATTTATAAATATTATTTAATAGTATGTGTAATAATTATTTAATAATAAAATAATATCATTTTTATTTTAATTGATATTTTACGGATTAACTACAATATTTGATTATCCCCATGGATGTTACGGCATTCTACTCAGTAGATATTCGAGAGTTGACTATATCAATATTTTGGATATAATCTAACATGTTTATTTAATAACTATTTTAAATATTCAATAATTTTATAAAAATTACAATACTGATTTAAAGTTTTAACTAATTTATATAAATACATACATATATATATATATATATATTTTTTTTTTTGTCCAAATACAATGAGTGATAACAATCATAAGAGGTTAAATCATATTATACTGTATAATAATTCAGTATCACATAATTATTTTATTTTACTTAAAAATAAATTTAAATCTTCTTAAATCACAGACCTATATAGTATGCTTTAACCTACTTTATTCAACAAATAAATAATAATAAAATATATGTATTATTAATGAATATGTGGTGATACAGCTAATTATCATTACTCGTATTTGGTCATTAAAATATCTACTAAACATAACTTGGTCATTACAAGTATTAAAGTAATTTTGAATATCTGTGTAGTGTGATTATTATGTATCTTGAAATGAATTATACAATTTTCAAGAAAAGAATAATTTTGTAATCCAACATAATGATATTTATAATCAAAATTTCTAACATATTTTTTCTTCGGCATAACACATAGATAAGTAAATAACATGCATTAAAAAAATTGTGATTAATCATTTTGTAGTTATTTCATATTATTTAACTAAATAAAAAAAGTCAATCAAATTAAAAAAGCAAAATTGTATTTATCAAATACCTACCTATAATAATAAACATTGATTTAATTTGCAAATCAATTAACACATATTACATATATTGTATTATATTATTTGATTTCCTATCACTAAAAATTATATTTGATTTCTATTTACCTACCTAATAAATTGGAAACTTACATTAATCTTATTAAAAATAGTTTTGTTGTATTTTAAAAGGAATCAACAAGTATATATATTTTTTTTTTCTAGTTAAGATATTAATTACGAGGTGGCTCTATACCTAGAAATCTTTTATTCTATAGTGTAATGTTCAATCACAGTGATACCACTGTGGTTCTATGTTAAGTCCGTATTGCCAATCTAGTATACTCTAAGTGATTACGGTTGTATACCACTTGTAGCTGATGCTGTAGCCCGGTACATTACATTTTATTTTTAACATCAACAATTGAGATACAAAAATCTTGAATCTATTTCTCAATACCCAAGTCTACTGTTATAGAAAATAAATTTATTTGCTTGACAAAATAAATCACCAAATAAAATAGGAAGAAATATGTAGTACATCAATCTATAAACTAAAGATGACAACTAATGGTAATTCTTCAATATATGAGATTAATTTATCTAATCAGCTATTAAAAATGAATATCAAAGGGCATTATTCAATTTATTCAATAAGTTGTACACAGCACCAATTGTAAAATGTTATATCTATTGAATCTTTAATGATACTAGATAGTAATATATAAAAATACATTTTTTGATTTTCCTCTAAATTGTTGTTTATTTAAATTTTAAATTTAGTCATAAAGTATTAAAAAACTAATATAGGACCAAAATTTAATTAATRCTTATTTCAACAAATAATATATACTCACGCGTTTAAATTACTGCTGAATATTATAATATGAGCACCGGTGACCGGTGACCGGATGAAAATTAGGTTAGATTATCAGAATTTAAGACGCCAAGTAGCATATTATAACAATGACATTGTATTATTATTTATTACAGAACAATATAAAAGCGATTATGGTTTAGTTGATCGAGTTCGTTTTTACCTGTGATCTGAAGTCTGAACCTAAGAAACAAGCCCATACACCAACATGATGTTAGATCCTTGTTTACCCGGATTCAAAAAACGTTTAGTTGTCTATTTGTTTACCATACACAATATTTCACGTATGCTATGCCCCCACCACGTCCGGATATCGTGTTGAAGGCCCGATTCGGCCAATATTCACACACTACACAGTGCCATACCTCTCATATAATACAATGGATGTTACTTATCGTAACCGTTAGATCTATAAGTGATGCGTACATGCAACGAGTGAACATATAATTTTTATTGATCATAATAATATAATAATTATATGACCTTCAAGGCCCGGAATAAGCCTAAAAAAAAA